AAAAAAAAAAAAAAAAAAAAAAAAAAATTACAAGGGATCCTGAGTTTAAGTAGGAAATTTTTTGATCCTAGTAAATATAACAAAAGATTATTGCATATCATACTATGTGTTTGCTGTACTGCTAAATGCTATTAAAGTACAAAGATGTTTCAATATCACTGTATGTGTTATACTATTAAATCAGATGCAGAGTGGCTCAATGTATTTAAATAGTTTTAACAAGTATTGTTCATGGCATCCTTCTACTAAAAGCCATGCATGTTCAGTATCCTGCTTCTCTACAGGTCAGATCTTCCTAGGAGTTCTGCTTGTGTAAAGCCAGAATATTTTAACTAAAATCTGCTATGTGGATCTGAGAACAGAATTTTGTTCTCATTCTTCAGGAAGACTCTCCTAAATACACCTCTACCTCGATATAACATGAATTCGGATATAACGTGGTAAAGCAGTGCTCCGGGGGGGCAGGGCTGCGCAATCCAGTGGATCAAAGCATGTTTGATGTAACGCGGTTTCACCTATAACGCAGTAAGATTTTTTTTCCTGAGGACCGTGTTATATTGGGATAGAGGTGTAATTACTTTACAGTTGGCTAGCTGTGCATTTTAATTTTTTCTGTAGCCTTTATTTTATTGACTTCCAAAGATGAAGTATGTTTTTGTTTTGTTTTTGTTAGCTAAAAAAGAAGGAGTTGGCTCACATGCAGGCACTTGCAGAGGAGTGGAAAAAAAGGGATAAAGAAAGAGAAGCATTAGTAAAGAAAAAGGTAAGGAGAGTGACCCATTCAAATTCTTTTGCAATATGATAACTTCAAACAAGAGCATAGTTGGGGATGTGCAGCTGTTAGTGGGGACCCACACTTCACATCATTAAAAGGACAGACAAAATCCTTCTTTCAAACTAAATCTAGAACAAAGGTCACTTGTGCTACCAATCATGGTACTGAGGTAGTGTATTAGAAAGAGAAAAAGGATCTCTGCCATGTAATTTCTATATTAGCTAGCCTTAATATTTGGAGATTTGACTTGCCTTGTATAGTATAGAAGTTCATCTCTAATTTCTGATCCTAATACATGCATGTTTTAAGTTTCATTTCTGTTTATATAAATATTGGAGTATATATATCTGGAGCTCTGGGCTTATCTAAAATTGGGATTTTATTACAAGAAAAAAAAATCAAGAAATCAGTGCTTGTTTTTAGGTAGCGGAATATACAAATTTGGAAGAACAACTTCAGAAAACCTTGACAGATTTAGAGAAGCGTGAACGACAGCTTGTCAGTGCAGAATCAGAGGTAAAAAATACTTACCAATATGTCAAAGAGAATGTATGTTTAAATCCTGCATGCACATATACATGTTCTTGAGCTTTCCTATTTCCCCTCTTTCTGGACATTCTCTTAGCAGTTGGGTGGATATCGGGATTTATCACCTCCAATATGAATATCATTCCATTTCATCAGGTTCTTTTGAAGTTTGTGGACAGAGATAAGAGTGCAATTTTATTTGTGGTATCTGTGTGGCAATACTCTACTTTCACCTAATTCACCTGTTCATTTGCAGTAATGGGAAAATCTGAATTGTGTCCTCAGCAACAGTATTATGTGTGCAGAGAAGACATCTGCCCAGGTTGTTGGTGACATTGGAAATGTTCTTGGGGAAAGATTGAGGTCATAGTTAATGTTTTGCATTACATTGCAAGTCAGATGAATTTGGTGAGTGTATTATGTACCTGTATCTGTTAGAAATGATCATCACTTTTCTGTGGGGGCCACATTGTCTCATAGACAGTGTGTAACTTGATACATGGGTGAAAGGGTACAGGGAAAAAATTCTCTATTAATTTGCAATTTTCTCAATTCCCCCCCCCCCCTTTCGGTTTTGTGAGTGGGTGGGTTATGCCCTGATGTGCCTAAACTGACTTTAACAAAGTCTCTGTTTGCTGTTTTCCTGGGTGGCCTTTTTTTGTTTGTTTGTGAAGGACCCAACAGTTGGGAAGGAGGGTGTGTGTGTGGAATATGGAGGTGGGGTAGACTTGACAAAAGGCAGGTATTTAGTGCCTATTGTGCATTAGCTGTAGTAGTGGTCTAAAGTGGGGAGGAGTTCTCCAAGACCTCACATCCACAAATAACTCCCCTTGTCAGCCTCCCCTTTTAAGGAATGTGTTTTTGGATGCATCAGCATCACCCTGTAATGGCACCACCCCAAAGTGTCACCATCCCATCCTAGTATAAGTGGTTCTGAGTTGGGGATGAGAGCATCAATCTGCCCGCAAGGGCATTCTGCCTTCCCCCAGTTCTAATTCTTGCCCCTTTTACAGAGACTCCTGCTTTCACATCAGAGCTCCTTTGTTGTCTGAGCAGCCTCATCAGGGCCACCAGAGGCGTTTGTCTGCTGGCCAGTGAGCAGAAGATTGGTGGGTGGAGAAGTTGCTTAGAGAGGAACCCTACTCTCCTATTCTAATAGCTTCAGAAAGAGATTCCCCCACCTCCTCCCTGTTCCCATTTTAACATACAAGAGTGCTAAGCAGGGGCTGAATGGGCTGAATTGTTCAAATTCTGGCAACCAGATAAAATGTATGCGCTATATATCTCCTAGCGTGACAGCCCCAAGAACAAGGGAGAAAGAACAATGCTGCTGGGTCCCAGTGGATCTTCCACATCAGAGGTGGAGAAAGCTAATTGTCGATATGGGGTGGGAAGGGCTTCCCTATTGCCCCCTTTCTGGACATTTTTTTAGCAGTGTGGGTGGATATGGGGTTTATCACCCCCAATAGGAATATCATTCCATTTCATCAACTTCTTTTGAGGTTTGTGGACAGAGATAAGAGTGCTCCCAGAATGAGCTGTCCTGGCTCTGTCCACGCCTTGCCCTACATTGAGATTCCCTGCATACCCGAGATGTAACTTGCTGTGTAAATAGTCATATATCTGACCAATTTTCTTTTTAGCTTTCATTCAAATACCCAGTGGCTAGATTTTGGCCATGGTCATTTCAGTCTTGAGGGAAGGTATTTTTATTAATTTTGTATTACAAATATTTTTAGCTCAAAATTTGCTTTGGATTTAATGGGACACTGACTTGAAGATTTAGAGATACTATGAAGCTGTTGTGTTCAACAGTATCTATGCAACATGGTTTTTAAAAAAGTCTTTTAGCATGTACATAATTTCAGAAGAAGGTTTTTTGAGAGGGTTTTATTTAGCCTGTAGCAACCCTACTGTTCTTCATACCTTTTTGGAAAATTCAAGCATCCAAGAAAGATCATATTCCATGTTCAGTTCTGGATGTGAAGGTTGAGCCCTGTTGAACTGAACATCTTGATTCAACCTTAAATCTGATCTCACTGTTATTGCTCCACTATAATAGGCTAGATGGGATAAACTCAGTTCTTCAGCTTATGATGGATTGAGAAAGTGCAATGTCTGTGGACTATGCATGGACAGTAAGATGTTGGTATCTCTGGATACCGGCATTGTTAGGTGCTGCTGCTCCTCTTTCTCCCTTGTTCTTGGGGCTGTCACGCTAGGAGTTATATAGCACACACATTTTATCTGGTTGCCAGAATTTGAATTAGAGGAGAGTTGGATCTGTGGCCAGTATGTAGTAATGTGAAGGTCACTGTTTCGAGTCTGGGAGGAAATAGCAGATGATTATAGTCCATATTGGAAATATAGGAATCAAGGAAGTGAAAGTAATACTTATGAGCCATAAAAAGTGGATCCAAGTGTAATGAGAATTTATTAAAACGAGTACTAACGGTTGTAATGAAGACTTCCAACTAAAGATCATAAACCTGTCTATTACTGCATTCAAAAATGTTTTAATTTTAAGCTCCAAAGAGTAAAAAGAGAATTGCAAGCACAGCATGAACGAAACTTTCAAGAACTGCAGGATTCTGTGCGACGAGTCAAAGAAGAATGTGCACATCAAGTTGAACTGGAGAGGTCAAAGATCAAACAGCTGGAAGAGGACAAGGTCCGCCTGCAGCAGCAAGTAAGTAAAGAAATTAAATTACCTTCCTTCCCGCTGGGTTGAGTGGAAATAAATATACAAATAACGTTAAAAAGTTGTATATTTAGGCACAGGCATAGTCTGGCAACTTGGAAATCAACACTTTGGTCCCAGTCATTCAATGAGCTTGACGCAAGCATAGAGGTCCACATATAAGAAGCTTATTGCAGGAGCAGGGCCTTTATTTTACCATTTAGGTATTATAGCATTATTTGCTTTTTGAGGCTGAAAACCAAATTGAAATCACGAAGGTGTATTGTATTTGGGACAAAGAGTCCTGTGGCACCTTATAGACAGACAGATGTATTGGAGCATAAGCATATTCACCCACAAAAGCTTATGCTCCAATACATCTGTTCGTCTATAAGGTGCCACAGGACTCTTAGGGTACGTCTTCACTACCCGCCGGATTGGCGGGTAGTAATCGATTTATCGGGGATCGATATATCGCGTCTCGTTACGATGCGATATATCGATCCCCGAACGCGCTCCCAGTCTACTCCGGAACTCCACCGGAGCGAGCAACGGTAGCACAGTCGACAGGGGAGCCGCGGCCGTCGATCCCGCACCGTGTGGACCCCCAGGTAATTCGATCTTAGATACTTCAACTTCAGCTACGCCATTCGCGTAGCTAAAGTTGGGTATCTTAGATTGATTCCCTCCCCCCACCCCCACCCCCACCCCAGTGTCGACCAGCCCAGAGTCTGGAACTGTAAAAAGCGACAAACATGGCTACCCCTCTGATACTTGTATTTGGGAGTGATGCTACTGAAGGGTAGTGTATATTTCCAAAATTTTGCTGAAGCAATTAGAATTTATTAATGACATTTCTAACTATCTTGACTGTTCATTTCATTTTACAGCCCAATCATAAAGCAATGCTAGTATAGTAAAATATTTGAAAATGGAAAAAATAATTTTGAGAATACATTATTCTTTTCACTCGGCATAATTATCTTTCTATAATGTGAATAGGGTAGCAAACCTTTTTGTTGAATGTTACGAAGGATGTTGGTAACAGAAAATAAAGCATGTTTTCTTTTTAATTCTAGTAGCATTATTTCTAACAGTTCATGTTGAGCCATTTTACAGCGGTCTCTCAATTATTGTTACTGGAAATACACTATGGAATATTGCTTAAATATTTTTCAGTGTGTTTAGCTCATTTGAATGGTATTTTTTTTCTTTAGTGTTTTTCATTTCTTACCAATCCATAAACTCTAATGTTGATCCCACAGTAGCACTGACTAATGAAGAGATCCATCTGTATCGTGCTAGAGGAAGCCTTTGTATTAGAAACAGCTGGGTTTTTTTTTCAATTTTGTCCTTTTCAGTATGTCTTTAATTTTCATTTAGCATTATCTTGGTTTTAAGATTTTTTTTCATGTGAAAAGTAGTATCCAATGTATCAAGGTTTAATGTAAATTTTCCATTGTGGTGTTGAAGAGATGTTGACAACCTAGAAATAGCCCAGCTGTTGAGTCAAAAATCATTGACTTTTGATTACAAGCATGATATCTGTTGTATTTATATTTGATCATTTAAAAATTGAGTTTACCTTCCAAACTCATTCTGCTGCGTTCAACCAGCATTTTAAATTGTGGATACATCACACAAGCATACATTTCAATTTTCACATAAATCATATTAACTATTTTTATTTAGACTATTTAAACTATTTTGCAATAATCAGAGCATGAAATACTTTATACATTTATGTGACCTGGTCATGCCACACCTCTGTTCATATCCTAAGTCAGAGATGGGCAAACTATGGGCTGCGGGACCCTCCTGCCCGGCTCCTGGCCCAGGAGGCTAGCCCCCGGTCCCTCTCCTCAGCGCAGCTGCAGAGCTGGGGCCTGACCCAGTGCTCTGTGCTGCACAGTGGCGTGGCTGGCTCCAGCCGGGCAGCGCGGCTTCCTGTCCTGGTGCTCTGGGTGGCGCGGCTATAGTGCCGCTAGCCACCAGTACTCCAGGCAGCACAGTAAGGGGGCAGGGAGCGGGAGGGGGGTTGGATAGCGGGCAGGGGAGTTTGGAGTGGTGGTCAGGGGGTACGGGTGTGGATAGGGGTCGGGACAATCAGAGGGCAAGGAACAGGGGAGTTGAACGGGGCAGGGGTTCCTAGGGGGCAGTCAGGAAGGAGAGGGGGGTTGGATAGGGTGGTGGGGGGCAGTCAGGAGTAGAGGTTTCTGAGGGCAGTCAGGGGACAGGGAGAAGAGGTGGTTGGACGGGGTAGGTGGGCTGTCGGGGCAAGAAGCAGGAAGGGTCGGATAGGTGGCAGGGCCGGGCCATGCCTGGCTGTTTGGGGAGGCACAGCCTCCGCTAACTGGCCCTCCATACAATTTTGGAAATCCGATGTGGCCCTCAGGCCAAAAAGTTTGCCCGCCCCTGTCCTAAGTTGATATATTAGTTCATTACCAGAGGCCCAATCAAACCAGAGATTGGGACACTGAGGGCCATATTTAGACATGATATGAGCAGGTTCAACTCCCCTGATACCACATCTGAATCCGGCCTTTAGTGTACAAAGCTAAGCTCTGATGATCATAAAATATAGCCTTAAAATTCATTAATATTAGTAAATGTGATGAACCAGAAGACACACTAATTAATTAGTAAAATATTAGTTGCCACTGAATGGCCCATATACAGTAACTCCTCACTTGAAGTTGTCCCGCTTAACGTTGTTTCGTTGCTAATCAATTAGGGACCATACTCGTTTAAAGTTGCGCAATGCTCCACTCTTACGTTGTTTGGCTGCCTGCTTTCTCCACAGCTGGCAGCCTCCCTACGGCCCCCTCCCCTCCCAGCACCTCCCGCCCGCCGGCAGACTGTGACTCAGCGCTTTTCCCCCTCCTCCCCCCCACGGCAATCAGCTGGCTTGCGGTGTTTTGGAGGGAGGGGGAAGGAGCGAGCACTCGGCGTGCATGCTCCCCCTCCCTCCCCTGCCTCCCGAATGCGGCAAGCCAGCTGATTGCCCCGGGCAGGAGGGAGGGAGGAGAAGCGAGGACTCGGCACGCCTCCCCCATCCCTCCCCTGCCTCCCAAACGCCCCAAGCCAGCTGATTGCCGCTGGCAGGAGGGAGGGGGAGTCCTCACTCCTCCCCCCTCCCTCCTGCTTCCAAAACGCCGCAAGCCAGCTGATTGTCCCGGCAGAAGGGAGGGGGGAGGAGCAAGGACTTGGCGCGCAGGCTCCCCCTGCCTCCCGAACGCGGCAAGCCAGCTGATTGCCCTGGGCAGAAGGGAGAGGGGAGGAGCGAGGACTCGGCGTGCCTCCTCACTCCCTCCCCTACGCGGCAATCAGCTGGCTTGCGGCGTTTAGAAGGGAGGGGAGGGAAGGGGGAGGAGCCAGGATGCAGAGAGGGAAGTAGAGGGGGAGGAGATGGGGGGTGGGGAGGAGAAGAGGTGGGTCAAGGGTTGGGGATTGGGGGAAGGAGTGGGCGGGCTGAAGGTTGAATCCCCCACCTCTGGTGCTTGCAGAGTAGGGGAAGCTGCCCTGGAACCTAACCCCCCCCCCATTTACATTAATTCTTATGTGGAAATTGGATTCGCTTAACATCGTTTCACTTAAAGTTGCATTTTTCAGAAACATAACTACAACGTTAAGTGAGGAGTTACTATATTTTTTTTCCTCAGCAGAGTAGCATAGTGCTGACCACCTTCCATTGTCCTTATACCACGTACATCATACCTATCAGTCCCCCTGAAATTCACAGTGAACAAGCTCGCTCATTGCATCCTGCTGGCATTCACACAGGCTTACACCAATTGGATTCCTCTTCCACCCCACTTGCTGGATCTTGACATTTTGGTTTTGTTACAGCAGTGTGTCCCCAAATTTGCCCAACCTAGTGCATTGCTTTCAAATTGTGCTAGTGCAAATTTGCCTGGATACATTGATTGCTTAAAGACCAAGTGCTGTCTTGCCCCAATGACACTGCCAGTGACCTGATGTTGATATAAAGGAATAATTCATGCTACTCAGTTTCCTTCAGATACGTATCAGTGATTTTAGTAATTAAAGAATGACATACCAAAAAATGCTTCAGTACGTTCCATGCTTCCAGAAATTTTTATGGCTCTTCAAATAAATGTAACCTAAAGCATGAAAAACTAAGAAAGCTTTTGCCTTTTCTTTGCCTAAAGTTGCAGCGAATGGGAGATGAAAAGTCTGGCCCATAGTATCTTTATTGTTTAGTGCCAGCTAACTGAATCTGGACAGCTGTAACCCCATGCAGGATCTTCATATCCACTAGTGTGGGCTTCTTCATTTTTCTGACCTATTAAAAGGCCTATCTTTGTGTCTTCATACATTTGCTATTTAAGATAGTCGTAGTTCAAATTCTTGATTTTCATACTTGAAGAATTCTTTCAAAATACCATTTAAAATGATTGTCATGCAGTGTATGGTGGGTGAAGGTGAGCCCAATCATTTTCAAGAATGGCTATTTGGGTTGTCTTCTTTGAACTGTTCTACTTGAGACCTACTGAATAACGGAATCCTGTTTTGTTTTTGACAGCTATGTATATTGTTTTTGTAACACTTCCCAATGGCAGAGTCTCATTGACTGTTTGCACAGCATAGGCATCTATTCTGAGTTTGGTTGCAAGAGATGTCCACATTTCTTCTGGAAGTGAGTCTCAGGTCTTGGAAAACAAGCAAGGGATTAGACATTTGGTGCAAATGTTTTTAGCATTACAGGCATTTCCTCACAACTGAGCCAGTTAGTTGCCTTGTTGATGGTCAACATATATATGCCATATTTACGAAGGAATTAGCAGGAATAAAAAGAGAAATGGTATGTTAGCTGCCTTACTTTTACAGTACAAATATGATGAATTCTTTTCAAATGGCGTAAATGAGAATGACTGGAACCTAAATGTCTCCGCCTTGTGGGTTTTTTTGTTTGTTTGGTTTTTTTGGAAGTACTACTGTCTTCTGATAATATTTCTGTACAAAATAATAGACCGTTTTAAATGTTGGATACCAAAATGTGTTGAGCAAGTGGGCCCAAATAAATAGATGTATTAATGCAACAATTTCATGCCTTTAACCAAAATGAATAATTTCCCCAATATTAGTCCTAAACTGCTAAGCTAAAAAGAGAACCCATGGAGAGAGTTATATTTACATGTTAAAAGTGAATCAAAATCCAACAGTTAGAAATGCTTCATTTCCACTAATGAAGTGGACTGTGTTATCGAAGTGAACCAAGTTAGTTATCTAATTGAATAATTTTCTAACAAACTAACTTGTATCATTATTTTATGTACTCCTTTTCCCAGTAGATAATTGAAACTGTTCTGCCAGGCATTTACATTTCCAATCTGGAGTATTGAAAGTGCTAGTTACTTTAAGATATGACTTGCATAGTTCTTTTGATGGAGTGATATGGTCATACATTGGTTAAGACAGCATCTTTGAAATTATCCATTTTTATCTAGAAAGCAAAAATCCTTTCTTCCTGCAACTCTGCAAGTATACTGTGAGGGCAAAGGTTCCTAACATTTAAGTCATTTATCACTGAAGTCTTGCTGCTTCAGCCTTTTAAATCATTATTTGGTTAACCAAAATATTATTTATTTCCTCTTCCAGACATTCCTGGACAAGCTATACTGGTGAAGTTGAGTCAATAGTAAAAACTTCATATAGAAGATACGAATATAGCTGACTTTATATTTAAAAAAAAAAAGCCATGTGTACAAACTTGATGATAAAAGTGCATTTTTGGTAGTAATTCTATAGAATTACAAAGTCTCACTTGAAAAATTTGAACAGCTATATTTATACATTTTAGTTTTTATGTCAGAGGGAAATAGAACTTTCTTTCCTGTATAGCCAAAACTTTCCTTAAACATTATTTCTGTTATGCTCTCTGTATATCCCATAATCAAGAATTCATTACTTATGAATGTGAAGCTTTCAGTGTCTGTTTTATATCAGTTACTTGACTGAAATAAAATGTTAGGTCCAGGGGCTAATTTAAGTTCTGTGACTCATTCATCCCCGTGAATGTGTTTTATTGTTAAATTAATGTATTCTAATGGATTTCATATCTGGGTGTTTTTAATGTAGTTTTATGAAGCAGAAAACAAGTATAAAATTTTGGAAAAGGAGTTCCAGCAGTACAAGGAACAGCAATGCAGCAAACCAGAAATCCGGTTACAATCAGAAATAAATCTTCTCACTTTAGAAAAGGTACTTTTGGACTTTACTAACCTTCCATAATGATGTTCTCATTATTAATGAAGATGAAAGAATAATCTGTTTTCAAGATGAAGTGGGTTAATCTCCATTTTTTGTCTCTTCCAACAGTTCTTCAGCCACTAAATATTTAGAACCTATTTGTAGGTGAAACTAATCTTGTGGAATAGTCTTATATAACCTTTTTGACAGTTTTTGACTATTAGAAGTCAACATTTGACAACAATTACCACATTTATATCCAGTTCTAAGTACAGGGGGAAACTGTATAAACTTACATACCACTTGGAAAAGGCTTATGTTTTAATGGCTACCACTGTAGTTAGAATTGGGGGGGACTCTGAAGAGCAAAACCTGGGGAGAAAAATAGAGGGTTTTGAATTTCCTAGCTTTTGTTAAAGTAAGTTTTTAAGATGGATATTTCACTATTACTTTTTAAAGAGTGCTCCAGAAAGAAGTCCCCTGTTTGTTTACAGAACAGAAACCACATTTGTTTTAGCAATAACTACCCCCATTCAACTTCTTCAATGAGTTTCAACCCTAGATAGAATGGCACCACAACTAGGAGTGAGAGGGTAGTTTTAGTCTGTGTTCATTTGGTTCTTTGCATTCTTGCTTGACTACCAGTGAGAGTGTGCCTTTCCCATCTGGACATTGTTACAGAGATTTTAACTGAAGCCATCAACTTATTTTAAATGGGTCACTGAACAGCGGTCATGTAGTGACTACTTTATTTTACTACTGACTTGAGCTTGTTTCTAGAAGCAGTGACCATATCATTGCTAATCCACTGAACCATCCAGCCCCAGATATTGTTATCAACTCAAGCCAGTGATCCCTATTTTTCCTGCCATGGTGGTATGAGTTGGGTCAGACTATGAATTTTTCTCTGTGGTTCACATTTTTAAAAAGTGAGAACAGAGATTTATGCACACACATAATTCAGTGTATGTTTTTTGCCTTCAGACCATAAGCCCCGTTTTTGAAATTTTTGGCCTTAAATGTTTACATTTGTTTTTCATAACCAGTTTCATTTGAGATCCCCGAAGACTGAATGGTAAATAGTTGTGTTATTAAAAACTATAATTCTCACTCAAAGTTGTGTTTTAATGTTTAGGACTACTTGGGTGGAACACTTACCCGTTCCCAGGATACAACATAACAGGCACTCAAAATTAACAGGCATCAAATTAAGACCCATAGGATTTATTTATTTATTTATTTAATACGTTATACAATTAACCTATGAGACTTGCTGCCATAAGATTTTGGGGGTAGATAGCTTAGTAAATATTAAAAGAATTAGCCTATCATTTCAGAATTAAAAATATGACTTACTACTGACTGAAGTCTGGAAGAATTTAATAGGGTAATGGCAACATACTTAAGTGTATTACTTCAGAAGACGTTGTAAATGTCTTCCATATCTGAGAGAGACAATATAGATGAGATAGTAGTATCTTTTATTGCCCTGACTTTTGTTGGTGGAAGAGACAAGCTTTCGAGCTTCACAGAGCTCTTCTTCAGGTCTGAAAAAGGTAACAAAATACAAGGTGGGCAGATTAAGAATAAGGCTGTCTACATTACAGTTTTTGTCAGCATAATTTGTCACTCAGGGATGTGAATAAATCCACTCTCCTGTATGACATAAGTTACACTGACATAAGCACTGGTGTGGACAGCATTATGTTGGTGGGAGAAACTCTCCTGCCAATATAGTTTCTGCCACTTGCAGGGGCTGGAAAAGTTAAGCTAACAGACGAGCTCTCTTCTGTCCGTTTAGGATGGCTACATTAGAGAGTTTACAGCGGTACAACTGCATCGGTGCAGCTGCACTGCTGTAAACTCTCTAATGTAGCCATGCCCTTAGGGTTTAACATGGGGCAAGAAACCACTTAAAATGAAGCAGGCAATTAACACCTCTGCAGTCATAGCACAAAAGAGGGTTAGCAGGTTACAGATTTTTGTAATGAGTCATAAAACCAGTGTCTCTGTTGAGACCATGTTTTTTTAAGTGTCTAGAAGACATTTCAATTTAAGTTCCCCGGGTTAGTCTTTTGAAGGTGTCATGCAGGTTTCCTTTGAGAGCAAGGACTGAGAGGTCATAAATGCAGTGATGGCTTTGTGAAAAGGTGTATTTGTCTTTTATCATTTTTCTGTTCATTTGAGTGTGTAGTGACATGGGTGAAATCAGACTAGCTGTCGCTGGGGCATTTGATGCACTGGATGAGGTACACCACATGTCGGACTCATGTATCTTTAAAGGCATGTTGTGGGAGTCATTGATCATCATAGCAGTGAGGTATGTCTGCAGGTTTTACATATGTTATGGAAGTGTCTGGTGCCCCTTTGAGTTGATGTATCCTGGTCTGTGGGGAGCTTACTTCTGATGACAATGTTGGTGAGGTTGGGGGCGTTGTTCGAAAGCCAGAATTGGGGGTTGGGAAACATTTCTTTCAGGATGTGGTTCCCTTCAAATATGATTGTAATTGATACTTGCTATGGATTCCAGTGTGGGGTTGTAGGTGACCACTAGAAGTATGCAGTGGTGGGGTGTTTTTGTTCTGTTTTGTGTTCTCCCCCTGTATTGAAGCAGGTTCTCTCAGGGTATTTGGGTGATCCATTTTTTTATGTGATCTACTTCTCTGATGGAATGTCCTTGTTTGAATGAATGAAAGGATATCTCCATTCATTCAATCTCCTAGAACTGGAAGGGACCTTGAAAGGTCATCGAGTCCAGCCCCTGCCTTCACTAGCAGGACCAAGTACTGATATTTGCCCCAGATCCCTAAGTCGCCCCTTCAAGGATTGAGCTCTCAACCCTGGGTTTAACAGGCCAATGCTCAGGTGGTTTTAATTGCATTAAGGCTATATCTCGGACTTTCTCCTTGGAGCATGTTCTGTGGTTCCCTGGCTGTACATAACGGTGTGTTCCGGTAGTTACTAGATCTGTGAAGGTAAATGTGGAGATCCATCGGTTTCTTCTGCATAGTCATCTCTAGGGTCTTGATTGTTGAAGCTGATTTTGGTATCCAGGAAGTTAATGGTCATGTGGAAATATTCTAGAGAGAGTTTGAAGGATGGGTGGTGGTGGTGAAGGTGAAGTTGTAGAAATCTGAGGGAGTTTAAGTAGTCTGTCCAGAGGATGAAAATATCATTGCTGTACCTTAAGTATATCATTGGTTTCATGGTGCATTTGTCCAGAAATTCTTCCTCAACGTGACCTATGAAGGTTGGCATATTGGGGAGCTATCCTAATTTCCATGGTTTGGACAAAGTGTTTGTTGTTAAATGTATGGTAGTTTATGGTTGAGTATGAAATAGATGTTTGGGGTGGATATCTGAGGGTTGTCCATTTTCTACTAAATACGTGAGGCAGGCAGCAATGCTGTCATTGTGAGGGATGTTGGTGTATAGGAGGTGAGACCATAGTGGTAAAGACGGTGGTGGTAATGTTGCAGAGTTTCTGGAGGAAACAGGCTCTTTGTGTGGGGAGTGGTTTGAGGATGGTTTCTGAGAGTCCTAATATTTCTTCAGTAAGAGTGCCATCGCCAGATATGATAGGTTTGTCTGGGTTCCCTTGTTTTTGTATTTTGAGAAGCATGTAGATGGTCCCTGGGGTGGAGGTTGATGATGTAGAGATTCTCTTGGAGTTTTTTGGGGAAGGATTTGTTTATATCCTTAAATTCCTGTGGGCATTGTGGTATGAAGTAGTCTTTAAGTTCTTAATAGTTGGTGTATTCTGAGAGAGAGTGGTTGGCCTCATTGAGATGTTCATTGTGGTTGTCTGCTGATTTGATCACGATTTGGTGGTTGACCTTCAGGGACTATATAGCAGTCCTCTTGATGGTTGAGAGGATGTAATGTTTAAGGAGTTCAGTTTTGTTTTTTGTTTTCCCTGAAGCAATCAATGCAACAAGCAAGTGTGTGGTTTTGTCCACTGGGGGATGTCCAGTCAGATGATTATTGTTTTTTTCCCTTGTAACTGTCGATGGGGATGTGTTAGTGTGGGTGGTATCATCTTTGAGGAAGAATTCTTTGAGACTGAGGGCTTGTCTTCACTACGGGGGTAAATTGACCTAAGTTATGCTACTCCAGCTATGTGAATAATGTAACTGGAGTCGATGTAGGTTAGGTCAACTTACCCCAGTGTCTTCATTGCATTGCTTCGATGGGAGACGCTGTCTGGTCGACTTCCCTTACTCTTCTCCGAGCTGGAGTTGACAGAGAGCGCTCTACCATCGGTTTAGCGAGTCTTCACTAGACCCGCTAAATCGATCCCTGCTGCATCGATTGCAGCAGCATCAGTCTCCCCATAGTGAAGACCAGCCTTGAGTGAGCGAAAGGGTTCTTCTAGTTCTTCCACATGCTTGTGACAGAGCAGAAGCTCAATCCTTTGGAGAGTCTACATAATTCAACTCTGTTTAGTGATGGTCTTGATAGATTGATGATGTTGGGGTGTCAGGTAGTGTCTTGTGGTGAGTCCTGCTGCTGTGGTTTCTCCTGGAGGTTGTGTTCTGTGGATTGTGGAGTTGTAGTCAGTTCCACTTTTTGGTTTTGTGTTCGATGGCTGTCATAAAGTTTTTTGATAGTTGCTTTGGATTTCCTGCATTATAGGTTTCCTGATTCTTCCCCCCCCCGCCTTCGGTTCTGTGGGAGCATCTGATGATTTCTTCTTTGAGGTGGAATTATGTGAGAGGTAGATGTCTCTTTATTTTTTTTCTGAAGTTCTTATGCAGAGCTGTTCAGCATATTTAAAATTGTATGTAGCGGCCAGAGGTTTATGGTTGGTGAGTCTTCTGGGGATGATGATTTGTTTCTTGCATTTGCTCAGGAAGTAGCTCTGGCTGTTAAGTTTGGCTTCCTTCTCTTTCATGTTGTGGAGTTGCCATTCCATTTCTGAAGTATTTAACATTTGCTAGTTTGAGGTAGGATAGCCATGCTAGATAGCATATCCTAGCTCTCTTACCAAAATGTAATTATTTTTTAAATTTCTGCAGCTGAATTGTAGTATAAAGTTTAATACTTCTGTATATCATGATAAACTTTTCTGTGAAAAATTGAGATGATTCATAATTCTAAAGCATTGGCATTTCACATTTACCTTTCATTTTCTTTGTCGGAGTTGTATTCCATGCCTAGAACAGGAATAGTCAGGAAAAAGATTGAACTATTTTATATTTGAACCATGTCTTGTCACAGATCCTAGAGAGAACTCCTGCTTGGCCACCCACTAGGACTGCTCTGAGGTGACTCCAAACCTCTACTGCTGTGGATCCCTGGGATGTTTCAAGCTCCTGGAGCCTGAACACAATCCAGCATTGCCCCAATCTTGAGGTCGTTATGCACATTCTCAAGGTGCAGACCTTCTGTCTGACACCTTCCTCTACATGTTGGAATCTGCTGTCCAGCCGCCAAGCCCTTCTGCGTTCAGCACTGGTCCCAGACTCTCTAGTACTTAAACACACCCCTCTCCCAGGACTCTACCCCAACAGATGTGAAGCTTCTGGTTTACAGTTTAACTCTGTCAGGGCACGCAGTAGTTGTGAAGCTGTCAACACACACGTTGCCTCGTCTTTTTGTGCTCTTTTTATTTAGTAGATAAAGCACAGGAGAATACAGGTCATACAAAACAATAAAACATCTTAATCACAGTGTCCCTCACTAGCTGCTCATTCTTTTGGGAGTCTTTGAGGGATCCATCTGTGTTCTGTCAGGCAAGCAGACTGGCAAGGACCTCCCTCTTTTCTCCCCCCCCCCCCCCCACTGGCATACTCTGTCCCAGCAGCAGCCTTCCTCATCTTAATCTGGTGCAAAAAGGCTTTCTCTCTAGTTCCCCCATGTGAGTGCCTTTATGGGGTGCTACTGGTGTTTACCTGCTTCTTTTAGTTTTCCTGGCAACTTTCCATTTCTCTCAAACATCTGCTAACCCATGGTGGAGCCATATATGTAGGCTTTCCATGACACAATAATTTTGTGATACAATTTTACAAAATCATTCACAATTCAGAAATGATAAAATTAGACATTCTGTTTGTAATACAACTTGTCAGATCAGATGAGAGAGAATTTATACTGAAACCTGGACAGATTTTCTGTTACCGCTTAATTAATAAAACTCCAAACTCTGTATTGGCCATAGTAATTAACTTGGTTCTTGGTTTGAGACATTGAGGCAGTGCATTCCTGAAAATTAGCCAAGTTGGCTTTAATGCAGGTATAACAGATTGCTTAGTGCATATAAAAATAAATATTTTTGATATGACCACTGGAGCCTAGTTGCCTTCGTATATTTTAAATATAGCCTGAACAAGTATTTGCCTATAATTGTAATTATCTCTTACCATGTTTTACCATTCTAATGTAATCTTCAAATATTTGTTTAGTTTTATGTCTTTATCAATGGTAAGTTAAACAACAATAGTTTTGCAATGTTCTAGAGCAAATTTGCCTGTGTATAGAGGATAACCAGGAAAGCTGGCCTAGGTTTCATGATTTCCTCCTCTCTCCCCCTCCCCCCACCCCCGCCACAATCAAAGGTCCAAATTCTGCCCTCTGAGACCTATATTTGCTTTAGTAAGCTGCCAACACCTCTAAAGGCAAGATTTGGCCCTAAGAGTTTAGAGTGTCCCTTAAACTGGAATGCTAACAATTAGAGCTTATTATAGAAAAATTAATGTGTTTTTCACCGCTTTGAGGCTCTTTTAAAAAAAGTTTACATTAGCTGTCTTGGGGCTAAGACTAATCTAGTTCTTTTTTGTATAGACTGCTAGACAATAAAAATAAGCCTATATTTTAAACAAGAAAATGTTCATGTGTCATAATATTTACATTAAATTACATAACAGCTTTAGATGATGTTGTATGTTATACTGCATAAGCACTTTTCTTAAACGGACTCTTTGTATATATAATTTTTCCATGATTGTTACCACTAGTATAGTGTTTCAGCTGATATGATTTTAATCACCATAAGGTTGAACTTGAAAGGAAGTTGGAATCAGCTACCAAATCAAAGCTGCACTACAAGCAACAGTGGGCAAGGGCTTTGAAAGAACTTGCAAGACTAAAACAGGTATGTAAATAGGGTAGAGCACATGCACAATAAGGATGAAGTAGTCTTTTTCTTTGTGTTCCTATGGTAAAAACTGTTTATTCATATTATGTGCTAGTCATGCCTGCTTTTGTTGCATATTGATTTCCATTATAACTGCCAGTGTATGTTTAAAATGGTCAAAACTTTCCTAAACAGTCAGCTTTGGGCTGGAATTTTTTTGCAACTGGGCTTTGTCTGACAGTGATTTTTAGCAAAATTTCTTCATCTATTTTTTGAGTGTAGGAAAAATGGAAAAATATCTATTTCCCAAAGTTTAAAAAAAAATTCTGACTACACTTAATTTTAAAATAACAAGGATACAGAACAACTGGCTAAAGTTTGGAACTTAAACTTGGACATAATTCTCATTGTAGACCAGGGCCTTTGCTTGGCTTAGAACTGGGGTGATTTAAAAAAAGAAAAGTCACTTCTGGGGATGCTCAGTAAGCATCTGCTGGAAAAAGTCAAAAAATGAAAAAGTTACCATGGTTTATCTTGGCCATGGTGCACATCCTGTTGTTTTATATTTTATGCCAGAAACTGCAATATTTAACATTTAACCATATTCAACACTGAACCAGAAAAACAAGAATGAAAAATGCAATGCATGAATAATGCAGTTGAGTGAACTGTTAGAATCTAAACTGGCATTTCTTCTCTTTTACACTCTAACTTTAATTGTGCAACCTTAACATTGCATTCAGGACTGCTTTAAGAAAATCTAGAATGTCCCATGCAAAGTAATTCAATAGTAGGGAGAAACAGAGCGTTGATTCTGAACCTGCGCCATCACCACTAGCTGCAAAATCAAAAGAATTACTCAGAAAACTTCTTTGCTGCCCAACCTCTTATGGAATTTGAAGGGTAGAGGTATAAATCGTGTGTCCAGAAGTACTGTGCAGTTGGGATGTAGACTTTGTAATAGTGGATGGAGATTTCCTGCTTAAACAGGAAGTGGCTACCTACAATATGCCTTATCTAGAGTTTTGTTTTAGTTGAATATCTTATTTTCCAGGTGTCTCAGGTTATGATGGCATAGCACTGTCAGTATAAAGTTTGTACGCCATATTCTGTAGTACTGGAACATGAGCAATAAACACTCTATTGCATTTTAATCTGTTCCTGGTGGGGATGAGGCGCCCGTGTATCTGAGGATCCATTGTAGATTCATGTTTGGCAGTATTAACTGAATTAAACCTTGTTGCATTAGTCTCTGTTTTTTTGTTTTGTTTTAATTTTCTGTATTTTCCAAGAGAAAAGTGACTGAGGGTAAAAATTGCTTGTGTGTTTAAATACTTTTTTAAAAAATTTTAATGCTTACAAAGTCTACATCCTAACTGTGGTGTGTTGAATGAAGTGTAGGGGTAAAGTACCTATCTTTGCTGCCGCTGCTGTTGGTTAGGAGGCCAGTTTGTTTTTGTGTTTTGTTTTTTGCAAAACTGACTTAACAGGCATCAGTACATCAGTTTACACTCTGACAGCTATATTGTCATAAAGAATACTTAGGCCAGATTTTTAAAGGTATCTAGGAGTCTAAATTTCATTTGCAAAAGGGATTTAGGCACTTGGGAGCCAAAAATGCCACTGTCAATAGGATTTTGGCTCCCAAATGCCTAAATCACTTTTGAAAAATTAAATTTATGCTCCTAAACCAGTTAGGTATTTCAGTGTGGTGTACTGCAACACCTACATACCTTTAAAAATCTGGGCCTTAGCTTTTAAAAAAAGATAGAATTTGTAGAATTTTGCAGAATATAGCAAACTTAGAGAGATCCGGAAATCACAGGTTATACAATTTTTTCCTGTCTCTGAATTTTCCCATCAGTGATGCCAATAGAGGGGTTTTTTTGGTTGGTTTGTTTTTGTGGATTTTTCTGTTTGTCAGTGAGGCATTTAAAATCTCTCTCAAGCAAACGTGTAGCTGCAGTTCCTTCATCCTCAGTAATGTATATACATACCAGTATATTATTTTTCCTTTACCTACTGCCTTCTATAAATATGGCTTGTGCTTGCAGTAATTTAAGATTCTGTAAGCACTTCCGTTAGGTACGGTCAAACACACTAGAAAAAGCAAGAATTTTACCAATCCCTAGATCGAAACAAAGCCTAATACATTTAAAGATTGAGGGTTCAGACAAGGGTCTTCATGTTTTCATACTCCATCTTCACCCCTGTTTCCCATCCTTTTTTTGCTTTATGGAAGGACTACTTTTCGAGGAGAGGCACTTCTAATTCACTCCAGCATTAGGGACACTCTTCACAGAATAAGTGAGCACCTCAGCTCCCTGAATCCAAATCTGATTCAGCAGGACCCAGTAAGTCTTTGGATTATGTTCCCCTGCTTTTCCATTTCAAGGTTTTGAAGTGTATGATCCAGGTTGCAGTATAAAAACTGCCTTTCCTGTTTTTCCATAAGATTTGCAGTGGCATGAAAGGAGCTCTAATCTCCTAGGAATATAGACCCCCAGTTATGAGGAAAAGCAAGAAGAGAGGGCTAACTCACTCTTTCCTGCAATATTAGAGATTTTTTTAGCAGGATCTAGCAGAGACATCACTAAAGAATAGGCCAACCAGTTTCTCTTAGAAAATTTACATCTGTGGATTGGAAAGGAAAGTCTACTGGATTGGGAAGGAGGAGCTAGCTAGCTATCTGGATATGTGCTCAAAAGGAGACCCTGTTTCTCAATACGGGAAGGGATAAGCAGGATGCTACTACTTCTCTACCTCTCCTTTCCTTCCCCCGTGAAGAGAAAACACGATCTAATGGATAACTAAAGCTTCAGGAAGGTCCTTCAGTGAGAGTCCGATGGTCTTGTTGGGAGGAGAGGAGAAATTTGGGTGCTAATCAAGGAGGGATATGGAGCCTAAGGCATTGTCATCGTCAAAATCTTTGGATAAGCCAATCAATTTGAGTGCCCAAATTTGAACTCTATGAATTTGAGATCCCAAATTCTCAATGCTCTTTATTTATAACTTACAGATAAATCAAAGAAATTAGCGCAATGTATATTTGATAATAGCTAGAAAATCAAAGGTTCAGTTTTACGTACTGTCCTCAGATTGTTCCTTTTTGTCTAATTTATTGTAGGGGTCAGAAATTGGCCCATAATATTTCTGAAATACACCTCTACCCCAATATAACTCTGTCCTCAGGAGCCAAAAAATCTTACCGCGTTATATCGAACTTGCTTTGATCCACCAGAGTGCGCAGCCCCGTCCCCCTGGAGCACTGCTTTACCGCATTATATCCGAATTCGTGTTATATCGGGGTAGAGGTGTGCCTATGCACAACAGGGTGATCATTTGCCTCTCTCATCTTTTCACACCAGAGGCTGGATTTTCCCAAAGGAAGCACCAAAATGTCCTGTCTGGTTTTTTTCATTTATTTGTTTTCCCTTAAAGGCTTTTTAGATTCCTGTTAGATGCATTTCACCTTTAGTTCACTGGTTCAAGTCATGCCAGATGGGTAGTGACAAAAACCATCACTAGATGATAAGTTTGGTAACTTTAATGGTTCCAGTCCAGGACCAGCTGAAGCCCTTGTTAGACATCTGAACCATTTAAATGAATGGACATTAAGACCAAATTGTACTCCCCTAAAACTTTATCCCTGAAAGCAGTCCACTTAAAATTAGATGGAGGCTTTTTTGTGGGAAATATAATATTAATGCTTATGCTACTATTGTTAATGCTGTACTTATTCTATTGATAAATAGGATTTTAGGCAATCTGGCACTTTTAAATTCAGTTAAAAAATTAAAAAAGCAAAACTGATCAGGAACCCATGGACTGTGTCTGAATATAAATTTGGAAATTTAGTTGCCTTCAGGAATTCCACATCAGCTTTAGTTCAGATGATTTGTGCAATTGCAATAGTTCATCCAATTTCTTGTTTAAATTGGATTAGTACCATATTAATTTTGTGTTGCCTTGGGTGAATAGCCACAGGGTTGTAATCTGTGCCAGTAATTTGTCACACCAAAGCCCTCTGGAGGACTATACAAAACATTTGTGTAGTGAGGATTAGACGTTGAAAACCATATCTTAGATTGTTAATAAATGTTAATGACAAAACCCAGCTGGTAAGTCTTGGAAATGAGATCTAATGCTTTGTGCACATTGCCAAAGAACTGTTTAAACAGAGATTTCCATTACTCAAAGGTGACCTAGTACAGTCAATTTATGAAATAAAGAAGCATAATCAACTGGCTGAGTATTTAGCAAAATGTTCTGTTCTTCTGATTTTTCAACTTTAAAAGTCCATGTTTCCTTAATTATAGCATTTTATTTTTCTTTGTGAATTAGTCATGTTAGAACACTGCTGTGATGGCTTTATATTCTGTAGAAAATGAAGTTTTGTGCATTGTAACTTTGAAAATAAATTTTGTGTGGACATTAAAAGGAAGAAATTCTTAATTTCTCTCTATCTGGAATTTTTGGATAATAAAACATAATACCAGTTATAACTAGAGAAAGGCCTGAAGCACATCCTGACTTTTGTGACATAGGCTCATCTTTAAGTATGAAAACTACAAAATCACACACTTTAATGGATTTGATCATGGTGTATAAAGTTTATAAAATATTCTGAAAATCCACAGACTCTATTACAAGGCCCCCCAGATCTTTCTCCCTCATGCCCATTCCCTTTTTTCCTTGAAGGTATTTACTGTAATTTTTTATTTGTACTGTTTAACAAAATGTTTTACTCAAAAATAAGACCAAATGTTCAGAAATCTGCACATTTGGTGCATACAGATGCACTTTTTTTCTTTACAATTCAAGGTTTTAAAATCTTGGCCTTTAAAATTTACCATCTAAGACCCAGATCCTGCAAAGATTTAGGCACATGTAATTTTACTTATGGAAGTAGAGCCATTAAAGTTAGTGGAACTACTTTATGTGCTGAGTTACACACATGCTTAAGACTTTGCAGGCTCGAGATGTAAAATTTAACAAATACTTGAGTGATGCAAGAA